GCGGCGCCCTCCCCCGCAGACATCTCGCAGCAGGTGGCGATCGCCGCCCACGGCGGCGCGGGGCGCGATCGCCGACAGGTGGAGCTGCAGGTGATCCAGGCTCTCGCCTCGATCGGGGTGGTCCTCAGCGAGGGGGTCTCAACGTCGGCTTTGACAGCTGGATCTTGGCACTCCGGGGCTGCCTGCGCCTCCGTGGGTCTGGAGGGCCGTCTTCGTTTACATGTGCCCCCCATGGCTCAGTTGGCGAAGGTCCGCGATGCCCTCCACGATATGGCCTTCCAGCTCGGCGCCGACGCGGTCAGCCTCACGGCGCCCGACGACGCGCCCCTGGCAGACCAGGCAAAAAGTCGGCCGGAGGGGGGCCCGCCGCGGAGCCGCCCCCCCGAGCGCCGCCGGCGCGGCCGGAACGCGAGGGCACCCGCAGCCCCAATCCGCCATCCTGGCGTTCCCTCTACAGGGGGAATATTCAAAAATAGTCAAAAATAGTCAGGGGATTATTTTTATACATATTTTGGACACCTTTCGGATATGTTTGGGGCTGTCTTATTTTTCGCCCAAAATCCCCCAGTGGGGGGGCGCGCCCGACTTAATCCTGGCGGCGCGCATCGAGTCGTCTATATGGATTTCTCGTTCCGGCGAGTGGTCCTGCATACTTCGGCCTCCTCTTCTCCGACTTCTACTCGCCCCGGGGATGCGCGTGCTCTTCGCCCTGCTCTCCCACGTGACCTTCCTGCGGCTGCTTCGCTACCCCCTGCCCGTCCGGCACCGCGAGTCCGCCGTCGTCGCGTTCCTCGCCCGCCCGATGCCCCTCCCGGAGCGGTTGCGCCATCCAGCGCTTCTTCGCCCTCCTCTTCTACATCTTCGGAGGGATCTCCTGCCGGGCGCCTGCCTCCGCAGCCGCCGGGCACGCTGCCGCGGCTACCTGGGACTACGAGGGAGTCGCTCGGAACTCGCAGGGGCTCTCCACGTCGAAGGCCGCCGGTCATGCCGCGACGCGCCGCTTCGCACAGCGCCCCCTTCAACGTCGCGATTTCCTTGTTTTGGGCGAGGCGCATGTCGCTGAGGGCGCGGAGGCGCGGAGCTGGGGTCGGCGTCATCATCCGCGACGCGTTCTTGAACAAGTTCCGGCTCCGCGAGCCCGAATGGGTCGCGGTGGGCGCCGGCCGCCCTGCCGCCCTGAAGTTATGCGGCGAGGAGGGCCCCCTGGACGTCGCTGCGCGTTACTTTCCGACGGGCGCCCCTCGAGCGTTTCGCCGCAAGTTTGGGGGGCCCCAGCCCGCTCCGCGCGCAGCGAGAAGCCCTCTGTCGTGAACTGCCCCCGTTGCTTCGACCAGAACTTGTCTTGCTCGTTCTTGCAGGCGATTTCGTGGCTTCCCACGCAGATCGCTGGGGCAAGTCATTGGGGGTGCTCGGCGGCGACGGCGACGCGGCCGAGGCTGGTCATTGGCGCCGCGCGCTGCCTCCTTCGAGTCTTTGCGAGTGGCGCCAACCAGAGCCCACCCACGCAGGGCCCGAGTCGTTCGCTCGCCTCGACCGGGCGTACGTCAACCAGCCCGTGTCTGACGAATTGGACAAACTAATTTTCTCCGTCGCTCTACCCTGGACGAGCTCATCGCACCATCGGCCTCTAGCTTTCGGCCGGCGCTCGAAGACCATCCGGGTGCCGCTGGACAGGGCCATTCCTGAGGCGATCGTGCAGGACGAGCGCTGACATGCGGTCGGCTTCGCGTCCGCCTGGCAATTCCGCCGCTCCGACATTCGCCGGGCAGTTACCTTGACTACATGTTCGGCGCCTGGCCCGAATGGAGTGGGCATGGCGGCGTCTTGGCGCCCTCGCTGTCGACGCGCTGTTCGAGGCGGCCGCTGAGCTCTCTGCGGAAAATGGCCGCGACTCCCTCCTGGAGGCATTCCCGCTGGATGTCATCGGCGAGACAAAGTTCAAGTCTGTCAGCATGGTCTTTATACCGAAGAAGACGGCGCACGAGGCCAACGGCATCCGGCACCACCTTCCCAGAGAGGTCCGCCCGCTGTCCCCGGTGAACACGGACAACAGGTTGATGGCAAATGCTTATCGTCTGCGGGCGGAGCCGCTGCTCGACAAGGTCATCTCTCCTGCCCAGCGGGGCTTCTTGCTTGGCAGGTCGACGCTGCAGAACGTCGTCGATATTGACAGCGACATGCGGACGGCCTGCTTGCAGGCCGAGCAGCCCGGCGCGGTCTTCTTTGATTTCGCCGCGGCGTCCCCGTCGCCGGCGCACGATTTCACAGAGGAGGTGCCGGAGTTCTTGGAGCTCCCGCTGCCGTTCCGGCGCTTCGTGTCCAACTTGTACTTCGGCAGCGGTTGCAAGATTGCTGCCGGCGGGGAGTTGCACGAGGTCTTCAGCGATTCCGCGCGAAACCTGGAAGGTGGCGGCTGCCACTCTTCCCGCGGCTGCGGGCATCCCGCGCCGCTGCCGTGCTGCGACGACTGCCCCGCCTGGTTCCCCCGAGAGTGATTTCAGCAGTGCGACGCACGCGGTTCAATGGCTGGTGCACGGCGCGGCGACTCCAATCCCGCGCGCGCTGCGTGTTCGGCTGCGCCATGGGCGAAGACGCAGTGGGCCGCTACATCGGCTGCCCTAGGCTTCGCCAGCACGGGCGGCAACGACTCCGGCTGGCGGCCCCGCAGACCTTCGAGGATAGCGGGGTGAGCTTCTTCCTGCTCGAAGGGGTATCCCGACTGCCAGATGCCATGTTGGGCCGGCGTGCTATCGTGCTGGCGGCTTCGTACAAGCTCCACTGCAAGGTTCTTCGCAATCTGCCATTCTTCGACGGGGAGGTGTTGCGGCGAGGTCTGGATCAAGCTTTTGAGGAGACCGCGGCAGGTCACGCAGAGGCCGTCAGGATCCTGGACACCACCTGGACCGATTGACGCCGTCGAACGCGCGACGGCGCTAGCCTACCTCCCGCAGCCCCGAGTCCATTTTCCCGTTCCGCTGCTTCCACCGCCTGGTCGCGCAGGCCGGCGGAGCGCAGACAGCTGGAGCCGCAGGCGCGCCGCAGTAGGCAGCATTGTGGTCGCAAGGCGTCCCGGTGGGGGTTTTTGCGTCGGTTTCAGCGTGTTTTTTTGTTTGTTTGTTTGTTCTTATTTTTTCTTGCCGCAAGCTTGCCACACACCTCCGTCCTCCCCCCTCACACGCGCCGTCGCCGTGACTGTTTGATTCGTTTTGCGCGGTGGGGGGCAGGATTTGTCCCCCGTGCCCCGGCCACCCAGCTGCGGCCCAATGTCGGCCCCACCACGGCGCAACAAACTAGAACCAACGCGTTCGGCTGGCACATTACACGTTCAACTTTCCAGTCGATCGGCCGCCGCGGCCGGCGACCGATTCGATCGCCACAGCTGGTTCGGAGTCCACGGTAGGTTACAAGCCCTCACATGCGTGCCGTCGCTTCTAGGTTCTAGGGCACGATTTGTCCCAGAGTTGGCTGGCTGCCAGCTGGCGCCAGTCGCTTGCTGGGGGGGCATCGGGGCAGCAGCATTTGATTTACGCACTCCCAGGCCGAAAATGGTGCACGGGAGCCGCTGGCATTCGGATGTGCGCCGCTCGCTCGGGTGCGCATCTCAGGACGAAGTGCTCTGCGGTCGCTTGGAGGGCGCGCAGGTGAAGACGACGCTCGGCTGGTTCGGTCCTCCTACCCTCGTCCCCGCTTCCCCTTCCTCCTCCTCTTCCTCCTCCTCTCCGCGTCCGGGGTTGGCTCTCCACTCATTGCTCGCGGACTTGGCAGCGCTGCGGTCCTGCTCTCTTCGCCGGCGGTGAGCGTCTTCGCGACGCCTCGGTCTGCGCTGGAGGCTGGTCTGGGGACCGCTTCTGTCTGTTCTGCTCGTTAGCTTTATTCGATGTTTACTTGGCTGAGCTCCGCTCGCCTTCATTTTGTACTTGTACTTGGCTCGGGCACTGATTCGGTGGCTCTGGCTCCAGGTGCCGACGCACTGCATAGTTTCATGTTGGATTTATGAGCTGTGGCTGGGCAGGCCACCGGGGTTCATAACCCAACGTCTTGACGTCTTTATCCAGGGGTGGGCGCACTGCAGTACTTTTGTGTCTTCCTTCCCCTTCCCTTCCTCCTCCTCCACCTCCTCCCCCTCTGTCGCCTTCCCTCCTCTTGTAGTGTTGGATTCGAGTACTGGTCGCTTAGTGCCGCCATGGGTTTGAACCGCAACACCATTTGCCGCTGTCGCTCGCGTGGGTTGCCGTCTCCTCCTCCTCCTCATTATCCTCCTCATTCTCCTCCTCATTCTCCTCCTCCTCCTCCTCCTCCTCCTCCTCCTCCTCCTCCTCCTCCTCTTCTTGTGCCGCTGGCTGCACGGAGGGACCTCCAGTGCATCGATTCCGTTGCACGCAGTTCGATGTCGGCAAGGCGAGCGAACCTTCAGGCGATCTCGTAGCGGGGAAAAAAAGTTGGAGGCCTGTGGGGCCGTTTGGGGGCCATCTCGGACATCTGGGAGCGATCTGCGTGCGACTCGGAGCCCTCTGGAACCTCTTCGGGGCGCTCCTGGAGCGATCCGCGAGCGGCCAGAACCGCGCCCGGGAGTTCCGCCATCTCTGACTTGGAATCTGCCGTACGGGGATTCCCAGGAGCCACCCCGCGCGCGCGAAGTAGAACTATTCTAACGTTATTGCCGGGAGATCTTAGCGCGCCTCAGGCCCCTTGGGCCGGCGAATTGTGAGATGTCGCCTGCGAGTCGACGCAGGCCATGTGCACACGCATTCGGAGAAGGCATGAACATTTGGGTTCACGCAGATCCCTGCACGCCCAACTTCAAAAAGGGACGTAGGGACGTTGACGGTTGCCATGTTGTTTCTTCCCAGGTGCATGTATCGCTCCGGCGGGGCGGTGTTCTTCATCCGGCATGTGCGCGCCGTCTTTTGCATTCGTGGCTGCAGATAGGGGCTCAAAGGCCTTTACATATAAGAAATCATATCCTTCTCTAGGGCTGAGTTTCAGCCAGTTCTATTTGCATGGCAAGCGATGCCCCAACAAGGACGGAGAGATGGGGGAGGGATGCGCAGACATTGGAACAGCCGAAGGAGAGGGAGTAGGGATGAGCTCATGGGTAGGAGTGTGAAGCCAGTAGCATTGCGGCAGTTGGCATGTTTGTAAAGGCGGGGGCATGGACAAGTGCACAGGCACGAGCATGATAATTCTTCACGCCTTGCGTATACCCACAGCCCAGCCCACTCAGAAACGCTGCCCATGGTTGACGAGAAGAGGGACGAAGCGACACATAATTATGGTGAAATCATGCGGGCAACCTGGATGAAGAGAGAGATCTCTGGGAACAAGGGGGGAGGGGGCCTTGGAGGGCCTCTTCGGGCCATCCCTGGGGTCCGCGGGGGGGCGCGGAGGAGGAGGAGGAGGAGGAGGAGGAGGCAAAGCGCCTCTTGGGGCCCTCGTGGGACGCTCTTGGGACGCTCTTGGGCACTGTTGGGGCCGTCTTGGGGCCCTCTTGTGGCCCTTTTGGGACTCTCTTGGGGCCCTCTTGGGATTCCTGTACGACTTGTTGGGGCTATCTTGTAGGGCATCGATCAAGGTTGGGCGGTGGCGATTTCCTGGTTCCTCTTGGGGCCATCAACATGGCTTCTTGAGGCTTTTGGGGGCGCTAGTGGGCCGCTCTTGGGCACTCTGTGGACCGTCTGTGGAGCCTCTTGGGCCCCTGTCGGGCCTTTCTTGGGCCATCTGGGAGCCATCTTGGGGCATCAACTGCGCATCGGAATCGAAACGGCGAGAATGCAAACATCATTGGACCGTCTTGTGGCCCTCGTCGGGCCTCTTGGAAGTATTTCGGAAGCTATGTTGAAGCAGTTTCGACTTTCTTGAGCCGTTTTGAAGGCCCTCTCGGAGCATCGGAGGCCATCTTGTAGCCATCTTGGGCCATCTTGAGCGCCCTGACACCTCACGACTCCCCTCCCCCTCAAAAAAAATCTCAGGGATGGGAAGGGGAAGGGTACCCCTCCCCGAGGGGAGCAGGGCTTTGGAAGAGGAAGACGGGCATCGTTGGACCACCTCACGTAGCCCAAAAGGCTGGTGGGATTACATGAACGCGCTGTCAGACATATTCACACATAGACATGTGGTTTAATGCTTGAGTAGAGAAACTGCATATCAAACCTGCATGTGTGTATATTTACCTCATATGCCATCTGTTGTGCACACCCAGAGAGGAGAGACCGCAGGATACCTTGGCACACATATAGAGAGAGCGATACAGAGAGAGAGAGAGAGACAGAAGGAGAGGGAGAGGGAGAGCGGAAGAGACGCGATAACGGCGTGCACCCCTCCTCTCGTTCTCCCCCTCCCCTCCTGCTCTTCCGCGGTGCTGTGTCTCAGCACTGTGTCCTTCCTCTTGTTCCTCTTTCTCCTCCTTGCCTCCTCCTGTCGCCGTTCGTCGTCGCCCTCCCGGGGGGCACGCACGAGGCCAACCTAGAGCCCTAGCATCTATGCTTCCTCCTCTCCTCACCTCCTTCTCCCACTCCCTCCTTCCTCTTCATCTTCCTTCGCCCTCTGCTGCTCATCTCGCTCCTCCTCCTCCTCCTGCTCAGGCTCATCCCTCTCCCCCTCCTCGTCCTCCTGGCTCAAGACATCTTGGCCCAAGACCCCGCGAGCGGCGCGCGCCTGGGTGCCTCGTGGTGGCCTGGAGCAGCTGGCGCCATGTTCGGCACCGACGGCGGGGCAGGCAGCTTTCCGCGAACTACGCCATGGCCAGGCAGGTGGCCTTTGAGACCATGGACACTCAGCAGCTCGCGAGCGTCATCGATAACACTACCGAGGAACCCCACATACTTATAGTATGGCTGGGGTGATGAGAGCTGAAGTGAAGCATGTGAGAATGATGTTGGTGGCCGTTGCCCCGCCGATACCGCTGTGCCCTGGACGACCGTCACGGATAGCGGCCGCGGTGAGAGACCACCCCCTGCGCACCCCCTTATGGTGTCGAGCAGCTCACGAGCTTCATCAATAACACCTCCTACTTCAACAAGGAGATTGTCCTGTCTCCTGTGCGAGCTCATCAGCAATGCGTCCGACGCCCTGGACACGGTGCGGAAGAGCATGAAGCTGCTGCCGCTCACGATCGCAAGCAATGTCAGCAAGCCCCACAACAGCGTCGAGGCGAATGGGGAGCCCAAGGACATGCAGGCCGAAGAGGTCTGTGCCACGTCCCTGACAAATGTAAAAGAGACCGCCGAGAAGAACCAAGGAGGTCAACCATGCAGTGTCCGCCGTGCAGGCGCATATCAACGATGCGCAGAGGCAGCCCAAGAAGGATCTGAGCACTAACTCTGGGATGGGCATCCTTCAGATCATCAGCGAGCCCACGGCGGCGATCGCGTATGGCCTGGACATGAAGATCGAGATGGTAATCCAGGTATTCAACCCCAGCGAGGACAAGGCCGCCGAGAAGATACGCGAGGTGATCACGAACAAATTCACCGACATCAATTTCAAGCCCGACTGCGAGACGTACGTCGAGTGCGTGTGGGACGCGGAGGCGGCCAAGCGCCCGCAGGACCCAATGACCAATGACGCTGCCGAGCCCGTCGGTCATCGTGAAGCTCTTCTGCGAGGTCGCGCCGCAGAGACAGATCGAGGACAAGGCTGTTTGGGGGATCGCGGAGAAGTTCCCCAACGTCAAGCTCAACCCCGTCTACAAGACGGACATCGATAGCGCGTGCGACGCGGCGGTGGCCAAGTGCCCGCAAGAGCTGAAGACGCTGGCGAGTCCGACGTCCATCGAGAAGCTCATCTACGAGACCGCTTTGCGGAATCAGATCGGGGACAAGGTCGTTGAGGAGATCCGTCAGGTGTCTGGCGCCAAGGTCCCCGGTGTCGAGTCCACGGCCGCCGGTAGCACCGCCGCCAGTACGACACCAAGGCTTTCCTGGAGGCATCGGCCGTTGGCGGCGACATCTTCATGATTGGGCAGTCTGGAGTGTGACTTTACCCGCGCATCTCAGCCTGTACTGGTGTGTGAGGCCAATTCACTTTCACGGTGCACGCAGTCTCTCTTGCCGCTGTGTGTGTGTAAAACCTACCTTGAGGAGGAGCGGGTCTACGGCGCATGCGGTCTCTGTGCTTTCTCTTGCCGAGGTTCGCGAAACCTTCTTTGAGAAGGTGCGGATTTACGGTGCATGCAGTCTTTGTGTTGTTTCTCGCCTGTGTCTCATAGCGTGCCCGAATGCTGCGGCAATGGCCTCGGAGGCACAGCGCCCGTCTTCGCGTTGGGGCGCGGCGGACTGACAGACAGTGGCCTTGCGCCACAAGATTTCGGGTCAGGGTCGGGTCGGCCAACCCTTAGCCTCTCCCCATAACCATGTGATTGTCCTCCTCGTCCTCCGCCTCTTCCTCCTCTTCTCCCACTCTGTCCCGCCATGCTTGTTCCTCGCCCATATTACCTTCTCGTCCCTCCTTCGCTTCTTCCACCTCCCTCCTGAGTGCCCATGGTATTTATCCCTCCCTCCCATCGCCTCTCTCCTCCATACCCTTCGCATTCCTCTCTCCTTCTCCTCCACCTCTGTAGTGGGAAGAGGAGGAGGAGGGAGGAGGGAGGAGGAAGGAGGAAGGAGGAGGAGGGAGGCGGAGGGAGGAGGAGGGAGGAGGAGGGAGGAGGAGGAGGATGAGGAAGAGGGATGAGGAGGAGAGGGAGGAGAGGGAGGAAGAGGAGGAGGAGGAGGAGGAGGAGGAGGAGGAGGAGGAGGAGGAGGAGGAGGAGGAGGAGGAGGAGGAGGGAGGCGGAGGAGGGAGGAGGAGGGAGGAGGAGGAGGAGGAGGAGGAGTGAAACTGAGAGCCCCCCCCAAACCTGTAGATCAGTTTCGGTTTCGCGTCCGTGTCGCACGCGCGGGCGATGCGAGACTGCATGGGCGGGCCCTCCTCTGGCCAGGGCGCCGCGGACCAAAAGACCAACCCCCCTAAGCTGTCCGGCTGTGGCCGGGGTTGTCCCGCGCGTGCCCCGTCGATGTCACGTCGCGTCGTTGTCCGGCCGGTGTCCCATGGTGAGATCGTGGGATCGATTATGAGATCGATAATGAGATGGATAGTGATATCGATCGTGATATGGATCGTGAAATTGATAGTGCGGTCGATGGTGGTATCGATAGTGAGATGGAAAGTGATATTGATAGTGCGGTCGATAACGAGATCGATAGTACGATCGATAGTGACATCGATAGGGAGATCGAAAGTGCGAGGGGTAGTGACATCGATTGTGAGGTCAATAATCAGATCGGTAGTGAGAGGGACGGCGATATCGATTGTGCGATCAATCGTAGGATCGACTGTGGGGATTGATTGTGAGATCGATAGTGAGGTTGATCGACCGAGTGAAGTCGATACTGAAATCAATAGCGATATCGGTCGTGATACAGATCGTGACACCGATGGTGATTTCGATAGTGATATCGATTGGGTGAGACGTTGGCCTCCCCCCGAACCTCCTTATCACCCGAAGGGTGGCCGTGGAGGTACCCCATTGTATCCTTCCCTCCATCCTGCCTCCGCCGCCCTTCCTTCGCCTCCATCCACTTCCCTCTCTCCCCCGTCCCTGCACCTCCCCCTCTGCTCCTCCCCCCTCGTCTCCTCGCCCCTCGTGCTCTGCCTCCCCGCTCCACTGCCTCTCCCCCCGCTCCCCCCCCCCTTCGCGCTCCGCTCCCCCTCCCGCCTCCGCTCCACGCGCGCCGTCTGGAGACGCCCCTGCTGGGCAAGGTAGAAGACCGCCCACGAAATTTCAGGAGGGCATGCCCCCTTGCAGGTGGAATGTTCAAGAAAAGTCGAAACATGAGACGATGTGTCGCTTCTTTTTTAAAAACTTATATTTGGGCATATTATGACTATGTTGTATATTTCTTCCAAAGCCCGCCTGTGGGAGGACAAACCCGACCTAACTCAAGACAACGATCACCGATAAATCAAGAATCGCCGGGCGCGTTATGATGTTCGATGCCATGGACCTCGTCTGCCTGCATGCAGTGGCTCCAGGCCGTTTGCGAGTAACGATTTTGCGAGTAGTGGAACGCGCATCTCCAAACAATGGCAGGACCCCCCACCAAACACCAGGTTCTGCGGCCTTCGGGAGAAAGACCCCACCTTGCTCGACCTCCAGGCTGCCCCTGCAGAAGAGGAGCTCCCACAGCCCCCATCCCGAGAGACCGCCCCAGAGGGGACGTCGATGAGGGCGCTTGCCAAGATTACACCGACGAGCATATGGCGCCCGATGGGCTTACGCTGCGACCGACGGGGCTTGTTCAAACCGAGCCCACCCCCTCCTGGCCAGTGCGGGCTATGGCGTGTATTACGGACCGGATCACCGGCTCAACCATTCTGCCCGTGCGCATCCCCTTTACGCAGTCCACGCAACGGGCCGAAACCTTCGCCATGCTGCATGTCGCTGCACTGGCTGAACGGCCGGTCCATGTCTTCATCGACAACCAAGCAGTCGTTGACGGATTCGACGACCTTCCCAGGGGTAAACCACCCCAGCCCGTGTGGCCGCAATCGGATCTTCGGCCAAAAATATACGGGGCGTTTTTTGCGAAGCGTGATCTGTTTTTTCTTCCTCTTCCTCCTCCTCCTCCTCCTCCTCCTCCTCGTCCTCCTGCCCCTTTTAGCCGTTTCAGGTGCTCTTGCGCCTCGGCGGCCGCGCGGACGCACGTGCGCCCCCCCTCCCCTCCTCTCCCCTCCTCCCCTTCTCGGCTCTGCGGCCATGGCCATCCGTGCGCGGCTCGCGTGGCTCCTGGAGCAGGTGGCGATCGGGCGGCCCGTGAAGGCGCGGATCAGCATGAATGCTGCTGACCTCCGCATCCACGTCGTGGTGATGCCGCTTGGTCACCAGCGAGCGTGTGGTGACGAGCTGGTGCAAGCCCTGCTGCAACAAGTGCTTGCCATCGAGGCGCAGTACGTAGTCGTGGACCCTGGTCACCAGCATTCTGGAGGGCGTTCGGACGTGTCCTTCGTGCTGCGGCCCCTGAGTCCTGGGCCACCTGCTGCTGCTGATGAGTTCGGAGGTGGAGGAGACGACAGCGACGACGGTGACGGCGACAAGGACCCCGAGGATGATGTGGCGCCAATGGCGATGACCATGGAGGGCCCGACGGTGGACATGCTGGAACTCGGGCCTCTTCCTCCTCTGCTCGGCAGTCGCGCCCAGCTTCTGGTGAGGACTCTGTCACCCGGCCGCGTAAAGCCCCTCGCACGCGGGTGCTGTTGCCATCGTTGTCGTGTTCGACTGCCTTTTCTCCGATTGGGTCGTCTGCTACGTCTTCTTCCGGCGCTTCGGAGCGCGCGGACCACATTGTGACGGAGTTTTTCGAAATTTCCGATGGCTCCCAGTGCGTTGGCACGCAGACGATGGACTCAATTGTGCCCTCTGCCAGCTCCGTAGTGATCTGCGGCGGTGCTCTCGATGTCGTGGGCATTGGATTTCAGCGTGTTGCCGAAGATGTTGGCGCCCGTTTGGATGCATTGGGCCAAGCCATTGCCGAGCTACCTACCCTTCCTCCTGGCCCGCGGCCTTCTGTCGAGCACGTTTCGCTTGCGGACTCCTTCTCTTGTGAGCTGCAGATGGGGGACCCAATTAGATACTTCGAGCAGTTCTTAGATGAGGTGCAGGCGTTCGTCAGGGTGCTTCTGCTTGAATTCGAAGGGCTCGCTCGGATTGCCGATGGATGCATCGAGTCTCTTCTTTCGTGATCCTCATGCCCTGCCTCTGGACGATATCATGGATTTTCAGTTCTATGAGGGTGTGCGAGGTGGTTCGGCGGTTCTCGACGGCGACCCATTCGACGAATCATTTCATTATGTGTAGTGGGCTCTTGCGCTATAGTCGATATCTTTGGGAAGCTCGGTTCCGCGTCCTCTTTGAGGTGGAGTGCAGCTTCTCTTGGTTTGTATGGCGTCCTCACTGTGGGGGAGTGCAGTGTCTCTTGGGAGGCATGGCGTCGACTCTGAGGAGTAGCGCAGTCTCGCTTGAGCGGCATGGCGGCTGCTTTGAGCAACTCACACGGGCTGGGCCTTCTCTCGAATGGAGTCTCTCTGTTCATGGGGTGGTGGTCGGGCCACGCACAGGGGCTGGGACTTCGTTTCTCGAATGGATTCTCTTTGCTTATGGGGTGGTGCTCGGGCCACTCGCATGGACTGGGTCTTCAGTTGAATTGGAGCCTCTCTGCTTACGGGGTGGTGTTCGGGCCACTCACAAGGACTGGGACGTCATCTGCATGGAGTCTCTGTGCGCATGGGGTCGTGTCTGGTCCACTCACAGGGACTGGGTCTTCATTTGAACTGGAGTCTCTCTGCTTACATGGTGGTGTCAGGGCCACTCACATGGACTGGGTCCTCACTTTCTCTAAAATGGAGTCTCTTGCTTATGGGGTGGTGTTCGGGCCACTCACATGGACTGGGACACCGCGTCTCTAATGGAGTCTCTTGCTTATGGGGTGGTGCTCGGGCCACTCACAGGTACTGGGACTTCAGCAGCGCGGGCGGGGGCGCGACCCTGCTCTCTGTGCGTGGGGGAGGAAAAAAAACTCCTCCTCCTCCTGCCCCTTTTTGTGTCTGGCCAAGATTCAGTGGGCCCAGTGAGTGGGCCCCCGCCTCTGGCATCCCAACAACACTGCATGTTCGGGAGGGGCCTTGCACCCCCTCTCGAACGGCCCAAGTGCACATGTCATGCGCTGCAAGCTGTTCGGCTTCAATGTCTGCAGCTTGATCCAGCCGCGGCGGCTGGAGGAAGTCGCCCTGCTGGCGCGCAGTTTCCCGATCCACTTCCTCGCGGGCACGCGCCTGCGCGCGGCGCAGTCGGAGGCAGTGCGCAGGCTGGCGAAGATCG